GAGCAAGAAACTGAATAACATAGTATCGGCTTATAACCTAAAGTACAAAATAAATATCCATGAGTCCATGCTGATATAAATAAATGATTTAACAAATGAATAAATGGAGAGAATGAGACGAATCTTCCAAATTCCAAATACTTTATGTGATATCCCCCCAACCCCCACTATAGAGGTGGGTCTTAACTCCGTAGTTCTGAGGAAAGCATCAGACAAACCCAAATTGGGGAACATTCTAACAAAAATGCCTGGCCAGTACCTCTCAAAACAGTCAAGGTCATCAAAAACAAGGAAAGTCACAGCCCAGAGGATCCTGGGACTGAAAGTAATGTGGGTCCTGGATGGGATCCTGGAACAGAAAAAGGGCATTATGGAAAATTAATAAAATTCAAATAAAAGTATGGGATTTGATCAATAAATAATGCATCAATATTTGTTAGTTGTGACTAATGTAAATTATAATGTAAGATATTAATAGGGGAAACTGGATGAGGGCCATATGGGAACTCATTGTATTTGCAACTCTTCTGTAGATCTAAAGCCATTCTAAAAATTTAAACAAGTTTAGTAAGACAGGGAATTGGAGAAGATAATGGAAACTTCAAGCTGTAAGTTTCACAATAAAGAGTAATATAAATGAGATGGGGTGGTAATGAGAGGGGTACATAGAGTGAAGGGCAATACTGTTTTAAGATGGGAGATGTTACAACATGTTCGCTGATAAGAATGATGGAATAAGGAGGGAAAATTTGATGTTGCAAAAGAGGGGGATGGAGCAATTTCAGAAATGTAGTACCTGGCTAGGAGAAAAGAGGATCTAATTCATTAATGGAAGTGTTGGCCTTTGTTAAGAGCACAGATATTTCAACCATAGTAACAGGAAAGAAGGTAGAACATATGGGTACAGATGTGGGTAAGTGGGTGGATGTGGAGCATGAACTTATGGAGATTTCTCTTCTAATTGCTTCCATATTCTCTTTGAAGGAATAAACTGTCATCAGTTGGGAGTGGGAAGGCAGAGGTGTTGGCAGTTTGAGGACACAAGGTGACAGTGTGAAATATTCTTGGAGAGAGTGATTTTACTAAGAAATTATGCAAGAATTGTTTGGCAGTGTTGAATACTCATTTGAGATTTTTGATGATTTTAAAATGAAAGTAGCTAATGCAGTTTGAAAAATTTTCTCTGGCAATGTTCATCTACTTGGCTGCAGGGACAGAGGAGGTGGAGACTTGAGTTTGTGAGGGTTGAGCCTTTGCCAAAAAAATATGGCAGAGGGAGAGAGCAATCTGAATGAGCATTGGTGGTACTTAATCACTTTTATCACTTCAAGGTCATGATTCTCAATATTTTTAGGTTATGGATCCCAAAGAAATTCTGTTGAAAACTATGGATCCTCTGTGTTGAAAAATGCAGGGTTACTCACACTCACACACACACACACAACTGATCCTAGGTCACGAACTCCAACTTTAGGTGACCACCAAATAAATAGCCCAATTCCACAGTATCAGCAGTTGTTATATCCGAGACTTCCAACTAACTTCAGAAATCTGTATTTTTAAGCATTCAATTGGTATATATATGCCTTGAAAGCACAGATGCTTTTATAAAGCATGAATGTCATACAAAATGACTCCATGTAAACCAACTGCTAACTCATAACTAGATTATACAGGTACATGGAGATGATGTGATGCTGGTCCACTCTGCTCCTCTCCTATAAACCCAAGGATGGGAAACACTTTCCTGTTTCTATACATGTCTCATGATTTTTTCATTGAAAACCTGGGCATTTTAGATAGTTTGGAAATTGATATCTGACTTCCCCAGGGAGATTGTTGCTGTATATATATCCCCACTGTTCTTTCCCAAAGTTCAGCAATTTTTCTTGAACAAATGCTTCTTAATTTGTTGTATGCCTTTGATCAATTTCCAGAGTCCCAAAATGATTGTTTTTGATAATTTTATTCAGTTTTATCATTCAGTTGATAATTTTATTCAGTTACTGACTCCTGGAGTAAGTTTGTGGAAATCTGTCTCCCCTTCAATATGTAGCCACTGATGTTGCTGCTAAGGTTCTATTTTTACTTTTTGTTTTTAACTGTGGATTCCTAAGTATCACATTGGAATCAGCATGGCTCAGTGGTTTTCAACTGGGGGAAATTTTGCCCCCCAGGCGACATTTGGCAATGTCTGGAGGAGGATGCTTCTGGCATCATGTGTGTGTCAAGTAGGGATGCTCCTAAGCACCATAAAATGCACATGACTTGCAACAAAAAATTTATCTCACCCTAATTGTCCATAGTGCCAAGGTTGAGAAACCTTGGATTAGCTTAGTGGCCAGCCAACGGTTGGTCAGAGGTTATGCTTAAAAACCACAAGCCAGTAAGGCTTCCACACTTTGCCAATGGATCTATGTTTGGATTGGTGGACACATTTGATTTTAAGCTGTTTATAAGTCTGCCCAGGTTTTTACTTTGTGCCATTATTCATACGTCTTCTTTGTGCCTCCACAAGACCCCACATTCTTCCAGAACATGGAGATAACTAGTGCCTTTTCCAGTCCTGAGTATGCACACAGCTCTGCGTGTGTGCACAGCCTTACCAAACACCAAGGTCTGGTCTGTTAGATTTCTGGCTGGTCTAGTCTGTTGCTTTACCCCAACTCGTATGCCTTCCCTGATTGTTTTCAATGCCCAGAGACATGGAGTTTTTTGCACTGTGATGCAAATTGACTTAGTCCCCTTCAGCAGCAAAGCTGATGCTTTTCTTGATAGAACTACTATTGATAGGGCTGGTGCAGGAGATGGGGGGAGGTAGGAAGCATGAGCACCCCAAGCTAAAACACACATATCCCCACTGTTCTTTCCCAACGTTCAGCAATTTTTCTTGAACAAATGCTTCTTAATTTGTTGTATGCCTTTGATCAATTTCCAGAGTCCTAAAATGATTGTTTTTGATAATTTTATTCAGTTTTATCATTGTTATTGAGGGAGAGGATTTGCCAAACTCTTTATTCTGCCTTTCTAGAATTCTCACCTTCAGAAATTCCCAAGGCTGCACTTTGAGAGACAACAGTGTAGTGGGCTTTGGGGTTGGACAACTTGAGTTCATGTCCTAGCTCCATCACCTCATGATTATATGATCTTGCAAAGTTATTTAACATCTCTAAGCTTTAGTTTCCTTGACTTTAAAGTGAGAATAATAACAGGCAAAGTCAATGTGAAGAGTACAGGTATGTTGCATTTTTTTAAAACTATTCCTTAGTATCTTATCATGTAGATATACCACAGTTTATTCAGCTATTTCTCTACTTCCCCCACTGATAGACATTTAGTCTTATTTTCTAACCTTTTTCTATTATATACAACACTATTATGTGCACCTCCACATGTGTGACAGTTTCTATAAAGTAAATACTGAGAGATGAATTTCTAGGTCAAGTAATAAATACACGTTTAAAAAAACTTCCTCACTGCCATCCAGTGTGGCTTCACAAATTTTTTATATTCATTCCCACTACCAATGTTTGAGAGTATGCATTTACCCACATCTTGTGAAACACTTGCTTTAATCAAACTTTAAAAATTTCATTCTGATGGATTAAGAATGGTATCTTAATATACATTTCTCTGATTAATAGTAAGGTTGGTAGGGTGGGAGGGTTCATGTGTTTACTGATCATTTCTGGATATCTTCACTCATTTTTCTGTTGAGTTTTTATCTTAATGATCACAGGGATTTATTTTCTGTGTGCTGGGTATTAATCTTTTTATGTTAAAACTGTTTTTTAACTGTTTCTTGTATTTGCAGAACAATGTTTTTATTTTCATTTAGACAAATTTATCTTTTATGCTTTTTGTGTTATATTACAACAGCGTTTCCTACTTCAACATCAACATATAGTCTGTTTTATATTTTAATCTATCAGTAATTTACTGTTTTGAATGGTGTGAATCCCTTGATTTGTTCATATGATTCGCTTGATCTGTTCATCTACTCAGAATGAATACCATACTTTTTAAGTCACTATAGTTTTGTTTTTATATCTGGTAAAACAGTTCCCTCCCAGATGCCTTTCTTCTTTTTAAAAACTGTAACTCTACTAATTCTAAATATGAATTTTGGAATTACCTGCCCAGTTCATGAAAATTTCTACTGGGATTTGGATTGGAAGTACATGAAATTTTGTGTATTGATCTGTGGGAGAATTTTTATCTTTTCATTCATTATTGAATCTGTCCATCTGTGAGCATATTTTTTCATTCAGGTTTCCTTCAAGTCCTTCAGGATAGTTTTATAGATTTCTCTGTAATAGTCTTCCACATTTTTGTTTATACCCAGACACATTATAGCTTTCGTTCCTCTATAAATTTGATCTCATTTTTATTTACTTTTTCTAAATGAGTAACCTAGTGTATAGGAAAGTGTTTGATCTTTTGGTAGCTTCTTATTTTGTTATAACTTCAAACTAATAGAAGTTTCAAGAATAGTACAAGGAACTTTTTTATATCCTCTATCCACCTATGTTTCCTTTTTATATACTTGAATGGTTTCATTTTCCAGATTTAGAACTCTGATCTACTTTGAGTTTATGTTGGAGACCTGGTGACAATATGAGGTATGAACCCAATTTTATCTTTTTCCAAATGGCTATCTAGTCCCAACACCGTTTATTTTAAAAATTCATATTTTCCCCAGTGATTATAGCTGCCAGTTTATTACATACCATATTACTATATGCATTCAGGTATATTTTTGGGCTTTTTATACTTTTATTGTTTTATCTGCCTATTCCTATGCCAACATCACACTTTTAATCATTGAAGTGTTATATCTAGTGTCTCCTTGTTTCTTGGTGGAAGACTTTTTGAAGAAAGTTTTCTGGCTAATGTTTTTTTTAAGTTTTCCTAAATAAATATATCATATATTATATATTATATTTATTATAAAAGAAATAATATACTAAATACTAAAAAGTAATTGATCTTTTCCCTAGAATTGCAGTATGCTAACACCATGATGCGCTTTGATTATGTTTGGCTTCGAGACCACTGCCGCTCAGCATCTTGCTACAACTCTAAGACTCACCAGCGCAGCTGGACACTGCCAGTGTGGATTTGTGTATCAAGCCAAGGACCATTCGTCTGGATGAGACCACACTCTTTTTCACTTGTGAGTGGACAGGAGATTTGGTCTTCTTTGGGGCACTCTTCTAAAGAACAATTTGCAAAAGAATGGTTTGCCCCTTTCCAAAATAGGATATTCTTTAGTTACTTCTCCTTTTTCCTCTGTTTAGAAGCATGTATTTTTTGAGCCTTTTATTTTTCTCTTTAAATAAAATTGCTGTAGTTATTGGTTTACAGGCTCCTCAAGAGCTTCCCAGGTATGATCTGAAACCTGCACTGACACTCAGAGGTTGGGGAGAGACCAAAGAAAGAGGCGAGCCACTCCAGATTGGTAGGTGGCATGTTTAATAAACAAGGGAACTTACATGGCTTGTCTTGGATGGCCATAAGAGCAACAGATCTCCACAACCACCAGCCAAACCTTAAAAGTTTATACAGAAGCCTTAGCTCGATTTAGTCATGTATATTTCACAAATGGTCTTAATTTTACATCACTATCTCAAGGCTGTTTCCTTTGGTCAGCCTCTGGGAGTGGGGAGGGCGGGCAGAACCCATGTTCCAAGGATATGTGAAGTTGGGGAGGAGCCTCTGAGTGCTGAGGCTCAGCTCACAGGTCATCTTTTTGGTGACCTCTTCAAACAGTAATCCACAGCTAACATCATACTTTTTAAAATTATTTTTTCAGCTTTATGGAGATGTATTTCACATATAACATTGTGTAAGTTTAAGGTATACAGTGTGATTACTTGATATCTGTATACATTGTGAAATTGTTACCAAAATAAGCTCAGTTAACACATCCATCAGGAAAGAGCATAGGAAAACATCTTCTGGACCTAGAACTAAATCCTGACTTGGACTAGGACTGGACTCTCAAAACTCAACATAGAACAACAAACAATCCAATCAGAAAATCAATAAAAGACACACACAGACATTTCGCTGAATAGGATATGCAAATGGAAAATAAACACATGTAAATATGCTTAGTATCATTAGCCATTAGAGAAATGAAGGTTAATATCACAATGAAATTTCACTGTATACCTAGCAGAATGACTAAAATAACAAATAATGACAACATGAAATGCTATAAAAGGTAGAGTAGTTCTACCAATTGTGCATTGCTGGTGGGAATGTAGAATGGTACAGCAACTCTGGAAAACAGATTGTCAGTTTCTGAAAAAACTATACAACCCAGCAATTGCATTTCTGGGCATTTATCCCAGAGCAATGAAGACTTATATTCACATAAGAACCTATACATATATGTTCACAGTAGCCTTATTTCCAGCCAAGACCTGGAAATTACCCAAATGACCTTAAAAGGGTAAATGGTTAAACAAACTATCCATATAATGGAACACTACTCAGCAATAAAAAAGAATGAACTATTGACACACACAATTTGGTAAAACCTCAAAGGAATTATGCTGAAGGAAAAAAGTAAATCTGCATGATTCCATTTATGTAACATTCATAAAATAACATGGTTATAAAAATAGAGAAGAGATTAGAAGTTGCCAAGAGTTATAGATAAGAGGAGGAGTGGGTGTGGCTATAAAGAGGTAATATGAGGGAATCTTGTGCTGATAGCACAATTGAGTATATTGACTGTACTAGTGGTTACACAAAGGTGCACATGTAATAACACTGCATAGAGCTACACACACACAAATGAGTATATGTATAACTAGTGAAATCTGAATAAGCTCTATGGATTTTGCCAATGCCACTTTCTTGTTTCTGACATTGTATTGTGGTTGTGCTTGCACCTTTCCCTGAGCCTTTCCCAAAGTTAGCATCTTGCACCACCACAGTGCAATATGCATTTCTCTGCAACTTCCTGTGAATCTATAATTATTTCAAAAGAAAAATTATTTGCAACAAAAGTATTTAGCATCAATACATTTGACTCCAATTTCTCTAAAAAAAAAAGGCCAAATAAATTTCTATCAAAAAATAATTGCCTTCACAGAATACTTTCAAAATATAGGACAAAGACTAAAAAACATAAATACTAGTGCTAATGTCATTTTCTAAGAAAAGCACTAGTATTTCAATAGAAAAATGTGAAGAAGTAAACAGACAGATCATTAAAGCATGAGTCAGCAAACATTCGGACCAGATAGTAAAGATTTGTGGGCTTTGTTGGCTATAGAGTCTCTGTCACAACCATTCAACTATTCAGTTCTTCAGTAGTAGGGTGAAAGCAGCCATAGACAAAATCTAACCAAATGGGTATACATAATACCAAAGCAGGTATTACAAAAACAAGTCCCACACAGGTTTGGCCTATGGGCTATAGTTTGGTAACCTGTGCATTAAAAAAAAATAGATGTCTAAAAAATGTTTGTACTAGCTTTATTATTAAGATAATAAATTAAAATTTACTTATTAAATATATTTTACTTATTAAATTAGAAGAGTATATTTTAAAATAAGAATACTCAGTTTTGATGGACATGCATATGTTGTTGGAGGGAATGAAAATTGGTAGACTTTCTATAAGGTAATTTGGTTATGTTAATCAAGACATTTTTTGGAGAGAAAAAAGATGGCAGACTAGGAAGGCCAGGTGGAAACCTCTTCCCACACACACACCAAGGAAGCAACTGCAGCAAATACAACTAACCCTGAAAATGACCTGAAGACTGCAGAACAGACCATCTACACCTGGTAAAGAAGAGAAGACAACACAGAAAAGGGTAAAGTGGCAGAGCTGTGATCAAGCAGGATCCAAGCCCCTCCAAGTCCTTGCCCACAGATGGAAGGGAGAGGATAGGTACTCAGGAACTCTGCACACCTGGCCCTGGAGATCTGCTCTGGGAGCATGAGCCAACATTGCCTTAGGCTTCGGTGATTAGCAGGGCTAGACACCAGGGAGAGTTGGAACACTCTGGAAGGTTGAGACTTCAGCCACTTGTGGAAGATAGGCATGCTGTACTGGTTTGTTGAGACCCAAAGCAGAGGCAGCAGTTTGAAAGATTTGCCAGTAGTGGGATGGGTACCAGAGGGGCAAGGGTTGGACAAAGCTCTCAGAAGAAAGGGCAGGTAGACAATACCTCCCCAGCCCTCCCTTGGCCCAACAGGTTGGAAACTCTCAGGAGCACCAGACACTCCATCCCCTTCACTGGCAATACAGCCCCACAGCTCCTTCCTGCACACACTGCCAGCCAACCCACTCAGCCCAGAAGCAGCATCAGACTTTTCTGCCTGGCATACAGAAGGAGACTCTCTCAGCTCCACTTCAGCCCAACTTGGGAGGCGCCTGCAGCAGCCAGCTCTGGGAGTTCCTTTCTCCCTGCAAATGGCCAAGCCCAGTGCTGTGTGCTTGGGCACAGCCTGGGGGAACCCAAATGACTCACTGCTGCAGCACCCTGCCCTGCCCTACAGCTGTGCAACTGCCACACCTAACCCCACTAACCCTCCAGCCCTGCCATCACACAGGGCCAGCAGAGGGTAGCCCTGCCCACAATTATCTCAGCAGAAACCACTGCTCTGAACACAAAGGGCCAGCTGAGACAAACTGACAACTGCAGAAGACAGACTACTTCCAGCAGACAGAAGGGTGGCCCTGCCCATTAGCCACCAGCTAATTAGCTCCACAGCAAAGGAGAACCAGGCACTGGAGAGCAAACAGTCTTGAGCTTCTGGGCACCATAGAACACCTTATTCATAAAGTCACTACTCTCTAGACCAGGAAACAACAGATCCATCTAATACAAAGGAAGAAACACAGAAACCCTGACAAAATGAGGAGGCAGAAAAATATGTTCCAAACAAAACTATAGGATAAGACACCAGAAAGAGGGCTAGATGAAACATAGATCAGCAATGTTGATAAAGATTTCAAGGTAACAGTCATAAATATAATCACTGATCTTCAGAAAATTATTGATCTCAGGGAGGACTTCAACAAAGAGATACAAGAGCTGAAGAAGAGCCATTAAGAGCTGAAGAATACAGCAACTGAAAAGAAATATATGATGGAGGGAATGAATAAGAGATTTCTGCAAGTAGAGGAGACAATCAATGAGAGGGAAATCAGAGAACAGGCATACAATGAAGGTGAGGAACAGAGAGAAAAAAGAATTCCTAGGAATGAAAGGATGAGAGAGCTGTGTGACCAATCCAAACAAAACAATATTTGGATAATAGGGGTACCAGAAGGAGAAGAGGGAGACAAAGGGATAGAAAGTCTCTTTGAGGAAATAATTGTTGAAAACTTCCCCAATCTGGGGAAGGAAATAGACATTGAGGTCATGGAAGCACAGAGAGCCCCTAACAAAAGGAACCCCAGGAAGACAACAAGACATATAATAATTAAAATGCAAAGATTGAGGATAAGGAAAGAGTATTGAAAACAACCAAAGAGAGAAAAAAATTACTTACAAGGGAAACCCCATCAGGCTATCAGCAGACTTCTCAGCAGAAACTTTACAGGCCAGAAGGGAGTGGCAAGAAATATTTGATGTACTGGAACAGAAGGGCCTTCAACCAAGAATCCTCTACCCAGCAAGATTATCATTCAGATTTGAAGCAGAGATTTAACATTTCCCAGAAAAATGAAGGCTCAAGAAGTTTATAACCACTAAACCAGCATTACAGGACATGTTAAAGGGACTGCTGTAGATGGAAATATTCCTAAGGCTAAATAGCTTTCACCAGTGAAAATAAACCAACAGTAAATGTAGTAGACTAAGTACTTGCCAAGCAAATGTGAAATTAAAACAAAATTAATAAAACCAACTATCCATAAAATCAGTCAAGGGATATGCTAAAAGTGCAGATTATGACATCTAATACATAAAATGTGGAGGAAGAAGAAGAAGAGAAGTACTTTTATATTGTGTTTGAAATACAGCAATCATCAACTTAGTATAGACTGTTGCATAGTCAGGAAGCTATCCTTGAACCTTATGGTAACAACAAACCTAAAGCCTATAATACACAAAAATTTGAGAAAGAAATCCAATTAAAACACTAAAATAAATACCAAATAACAAGAGAACAGTCTAAGAGAGGAAGAAAGAAACAGAGAGG